CGTGCAAGTAACTACTCCAGAAGTCTGCTTCTTTGGATGCCTTTAATGCTGGTACTAGATCCCGATTATGTGAATTCGATACTGAGAATAAAATATATACATATATGTTTGGACTTTCTCTTGTTAAGAGTAATTAACAAGCCTTTCCTTGATAGTCCGGGTTTAGATATGGCAAATAAAACGTATCCTTTGCGAAGCGCTGTTCTTCTGCACTAAAATATGTCAATTTCGTACACACTTGGATGTATTTAATTAAATTTATTTAATTACATAGGTAACGTGTGTAAACATCTATTAACCAAACGTCTATTCCATATAAAGTTACGAATATAAAACAGTTCTCTTTCAAATGGAGGTACAAATAGGGGCGATAGAATTTAAATCCTTAAAAAACGAATTTCCATTCCGGTTTTAATTTGATAAAAGATTTCTGATTTGTATTATTTGTGATGACACGACGTGAAAATTTAAAAGACAGTCGTGATATTAATTTGACATATTGACAATAATTTTACTCCAGATCACTCAAGAAATCTAATTAACCGACAACAATTTCCCCCCACCTGACATGCAAGGCTAACTAGATTTCTTCCTCTGGTAATCCCATGCTAAATAAGACAAATAGAAGTTCAAATTGACAGATGGACGCTTGGAATTGGAATTGTGAAAATGGCATTGGAAATAATATGAAATGCACACAAACTGTAAACTGTCATAATTCAATAACTGTATTCAGTGAAATAAACACTTTTGAGTTGTAAATCAAGGAAAATATAAGTTCTCTTAGAATAGCATTTCTCACAAATTCTGTTAAAATTACAGTTAGGTTAGATTAGCGAGTTTTACAGAAACCCTTATTTTCAAAATGGGATAGATAATATTAAACTTCTGGGCTTTTAATTCAATTGATCGTCGCTTCCCTTGTGCCGTAACAATCGTGAATGATAATTATGTTTCCCAATCCCTAAGCCCTATATTAAAATTTTACTCAATCAGCATTAAATTGATTTATTATAATACTAATTGATAGGCACGGAGAAATTGCCTAAATGATACATTTTCCTTTCTATGAACGAACCACATGTTATCTACACATTTCTTGCAAACAAACATACAATCGGTTAGTCTTAAAGGGACCAATATTTAATCATTTTCAAATCTTTTTCATTAATATCTTATATATGTCACATAGAAGAGAACAGATTCTTAGGAAGTGCGACAAAAGCGTTCAACATATCTATGTTACCTACATGCTTCCTAGAAAGATATATAAAACGTTTTTCAGTATTTCGTTATAATTAGAAAACAAGGCAATTTTACAAGCACAAAACTGAATAGGAATCATATATATGTATAATTTTTACGAATGTGTTTCAGTTTGAAAAAGTTTCATACTTTGAATACACAAACAATTATCATCTCGTTAAGATAACAAAGCATTATTAAGAAATGGCAGTTTCGGCATTCATGAAATCAGGGGTCGTTCTTACCGATCATTACTTACCTGCGTGTCTCCATATTTTGCACAGATGATACAAACTCTCTTATTTTATCTCAAAATCAAACAATGTCCCCACGCTTGCCTGGAGAATGTACACAAAATGACAGGAAAGCGAGGAGAGGGTCCCTAGTCTGTTTTTAGTTCCGCAAGCTAGGCTTCTACGCCGCGCTCTATCATTTAGGATGGGTTGTGTGTTTTGTACCCTAGGTTGAGTTGAAATATGATACGGGCACCGATGACTTAAAGCGCATTGTAAAATGAGAAACTGTGGAAAACAAGTACAACAAAAAGCGAGGTATTTTGTCCGAAGATTTAAGGATCTATATTCTATTGCGGTAGCATCAGTCGTGATTCAGATTCACTGCGTATTAGTTTCTGTGAGAGGTGGGCCGACTGATAGAAAATTCGGCCCGGCTGTGTTATTGTTTGTGAATATACCTCCATGTTTCGTAGAATTGTCTCCCGCGCGAGTCCTGTCTATGTAAATCCTGTCCCCCCGACGCTGTCCCTCAACGCTATGAATCACGTTTGTCGTAAATCAGAGTCCCTTAACCGCTGACCACTGTCGGAGAAAAGACCGTTGTCATCCTGCATCGCGACTCCATCTTTCTCTCTATCCCCCACTGTCTTCTATTCTAATTCAAAGACGTTGTCAAAAACGCATAGCGCCGAGGGGAAGCCATTTTGTTGATGTTATTATCTCAGGAGCTCGGTGGGCGTGCCGCATTCGTAAACTCCACCCCCTCTGACCTATGTTCGGCTCTGGCACAACCAGAGGTTCGAGACTGCTGTTCGCTTAGACCGTTTGATCTGGTAACCGAGGAAAGTGGGTAACTTGTCTCACTACAACACAAGAAACTACAACTAGAGGATTCGCTTTTTACTTCGGCCGGTAAGTGGTGACAATTTTCACAATGTCAGGACGATTAATTGCTTTGTCTTTGCGCCCAGTCGGATAACTCAGCTCCTGTGTTATGCTTCGATTTTTGACATTCATATTCCGAAGCCAGTTTATGGTAGCTTTTATGTGTCGTTTATGTACGCTTTTCGACAATTCCGGGGCTATACGTCCCGCTCTGAGGAATTTCATTGCACCCTCAGTAACTACAGAGTCCTGTTAAAGGACGGTCTCCTGTGATATCCCGAGCAATGTTTATACTCACCAAGTACTTAATAATTTTTTAACATCATTTCATGCTAATTTTAATTTTGCGATAATTCTGCGTTAGTGTTTTATTACTTATCTTAGGTATTCTGTTAGTGAGCTCGAAGCAGTGTTATTACTTTATATTATCTTTATAATTTGTAGTAACACTGCCATAATACAGTTTTACTAGACCGGTCCTGTACCACGTGGTCTTTCGGGAACCATATAGCTATGGGAATTTCATAGCTAATGAGGTCTGTTTACGTTTATCGGGTTTCAGATTTAGTATCATGTTTACTGTTGATATAAAACTTTAGTGTATGTTTACAGCACTTTATTTCATTCAAACATCCCATGTATTGGACACTGCTGTGATAGTGTGCTTGTGGTGATTATTTATATATTTGTAAACAAATAATTTCATATTGTCGATGGACATGAGAATAAAGTACTGTTACAAATACTTAAATAATTTGATGATAGTTTGAGACAGAAATTAATTAAAATGTTTACATAACATTTAATCATATATGATAACGATGAAGTAGGATAGGATATGTATATTCCCCGTTGTGTTTATGCATATTTTACTAACTTAATATTTCATTAATAAATCATTATGTATTTTTCATGTTTTGAAACACCAGTGACATTATCATAAAAACAAACAAAATAACAATAAAAGCTATCTAGCTTGCTGACATAACACTGTTTTAAAATTACAAGTACGCGATTTTCATGAAGACAATATTTAATAAATATGTAAGTATTCATTCCAAAACACTACCGACGTAAATAATGAAACTCTGCGTTGTCTGTCATGAACGATCAGAAATAATGTGATGTATGCAGAAGCTACTAAAGGCGAAAGAAAAATCATATTTCATCATATTCACACATACACGACCGGCAGACATGCAAGGGTTAAACTGCTTAATGAATTTGACATTTAATTTGTCACTTCCTGGATCTTGTCAATTTCACTTGCGCGGTGTATGTAGCTAACTCTCCTTGTAAATTTCATGCCAAACTCCACGTAACATTTGCACATTACAGCTGTTAGAAAAACCCTTTTCCGGAAACCCAAAGCAAATCTCAGAGAAAGTGTGTAATCAGAATAAGCTATCTTATAATCTCTGATAACCTCAATGTTATTTCTTCGCAAAAAGTACCGTGTGAGAAAAACACGTTTTTCCTCAACTTTACTAAACTGTATCATATAGAGCACGTGGGATGTTATGCGATACAGTTAAAACGTAATCTTCAGATCTTAAAAGAAAATAGCTGATATATTATAAAAAGGTTAATTTTCCCCATTTCAGATTTGAATATTGGGCATATCTAGGGTACAGTATACACAACGTCCTATATCTGAAATGCTGTATGTCTGTAGAATTTCAAGACAGATTTATCAAATTTGAATATGTCTCTGAATGAAGATGGGGTTTACATGCTATGGATCAATTTGTATATTTTGGACTTGAGTCCTGGGGAGTAACGAGATTTGAGATTCATCGTGGCAAATCTCCAATCACACGTTGCTTTTTCACCCCGGGGTATACCCGAAGTATGTCGTCACAATTGTTTGAAACCAAACACTAGTTTTCTGTCTCCCCATCTGATTGGTGAAATTGATTAGATTGTTTTGACATATAATATTCCACTAATACAACTGATAGCATGACCCGCAGCGCGATTCCGAGTCTTTCAATTCATTTAAGAAATTGTGTCTAATATCGGAACATTACTCATACAAAAAAATGTGAAATCTAAGCAGGCCTGTATCAAAAACGACGATACGTAGCATCATATTCATCATAACTTTGGATGATTGCGATCGGTTGTCAACGACTGACTATCTGTCCCACACGACCCGACAGGGATTTAATTCTTGCATACAATTACATAATCAGTACCATATAATAGAAAATGAAACATTTTAAGATTCAGATATAATCACTACTCTAAACGTAGTTTGAATATGGCATGCGCATTTTCAATATGGCACATGACCTGGCTTCGAAAACCATGAAATATTATCAAACTCTTAAGAACATGCTCTTGAGAAAACATTGACAATAAAAACACAAAATCAACGTTACCCTTTTCGCATTTTGTGACGAGAATTGTGGAGCCCTCAGATGACTTTATCGATATATTTATCTCTATCTAAATGTCTATATTTGAAAACTCTCCCTTCGGCTATACATTTTCGAACACACACGAATCATAGTTTATAAACAGGACGGTGATGACAATAAATCCCAGCCTCTGTATACAATGCGCTTTCAAGTACAAAAACCATCAGTCCTCGAGCCAATAACAGGAGAAAATAATGCACGATGTACTTACAGCAAGGAGAAAATAATTCGTTAAGGCATCCCGTTTCTGCATTTCCAATGAGACAGATTGTTTTTCACTGCTAATAGAAAAACCGTTGACAGAGGCCTTCGATTCAGTGCATTCTGTTCGTCATTTGTCATGTTCCAAGTCTCCAATAAGACAATATTTCCTGTGTAAATTAGAAAATCCTAATTAATAAACTGGACACGTGAAATGAATGACCTCGTATATTTGTTGTTGATTTCGGTTGTCGATTTCTCATCCGCTGAGCACCGGAATCACCTCTGTTTCATTACACTTTATACACCATCACCAATCCATCGGTTTCTATATTTCATCCTTGTTCAACTTCATTATTGTAGAAGACAGATTGTCCCGCATAGATAATCCATGAAAGAGAGCATCACCTCAATATAACGCGTTTGTTTCTAGTCGTTAATACAATACCAAATCGCCTTATCCAAACTACGACATATTACAACTACCTAGTCCATTAAAATATGTTCATATATATGAAACAATAATACATTTTGCAACGAATTTATGAAGTTATACAATGTACGCGTTATTGCGAGGGTGGTGTGTGCATTTAATTAAGTCACTGCACATGCATGATGGAGAATCGTCTACACAGTTCCTCCAATTAGAAGAAAGAAATGACACAGGGAATATCTGCGCTAGGTCCTAAAACGTCGCATCTGCTGGGATCAAATGAATTAAGTCAGCGAATCAGGCGCGGGACCGAAAAGATAAAAACAGTCGTTTTTATTTGAATTACTTAACCCCCTTCATTAGCTTGCATGGACGATTCTCTTAAAATATGGCCAAGACTTCATTTATTTTGCAAAAGTGTCCCATCCGGAATTTTCTTTGTTTAGATTAATAAAGATATTTGATACGTGGCCAAGGCTTGAGCTGGGCTAGGAGGCGGGGCGATCCGAGTCTAATCCCAACTTGATTGCAGTCAAACTACTATGACTTCTGCCCAAGGTTCATAGCTCAAACAGCATTAGTACCCATAGAAAATACACGAAAAATATGCTAATCTGTTTTCATGGTATTTTTTATACAATGATCATCATTTATATAAATCATAAAAGTGCATAATAACATTAACCAAGTCAATGTATTAATGTAACGTGCCATAATAATGATAAATTGATAACATATCAGTTGTAAAAAACTAATAAAAATAACTAAAATGATTGATAAAACTTACCCTATGTTTCTTCTGACTCTTTTGACAACGACTTTTTTGGTTTTTATTGTAAAGTGGGCAGTTGAGGCAAAAAGGACGCCACAAAACACATCATAATAAGGCGGCATTTTTATGACTGAGAACCAAACGAGACCAATGAATGACTAACGAACTAAATAGATGACTCCTCAAACGGATTTTGAAATTAATATCTTAAATAATTTATGTGAACACTATCGGACAATGGAAATCGTTCCCTCTCACCAGAATGACATTATTTTGTTACTAGATTTAGATAGGCTCCCAAAGAATTTTATTGGCCAGTGTATTTAACATATAAACTTACCGAAAATGATATGGCTATTTAAATTGAAATAATTCTGTTACTTGTACTAATGTCATTTTCAGCGACACGATCGAATGGCACATTAACAAAATGACAATAAAAATACTTGAAAATTTTATTAAGAGTTTTATGACTTTTTAAGTGCCCCAAATGAATTGGTCACAATTCGAATCATATTTAGCAGAATGCGTGGACAACTAAGAACAATACTTGATTGATATTTTTCTAAATTGATAAAAAGGTTTTCCTTTTGTTGATAATTCTTAAATCCTGTATTCTATCCTGCATATAAAATTATATTGTATGGATACTTTATGATATGGTGATATCAGTTCGTGCATATTGGTTATGATTAAATATTCCCCGTTCACGACTGACGTGTTTCAGAGTCGTTGTTAGTTCAGGCGCTGTGTCATTAGTCCTAGAGGAATATTTCAATGATCAAGTCATGTGAGGATGAATTTTATTTAACGAAGCTCCAATATACACAAACACAAACACACTTATACATTTATGATAATTTCCTAGGTGCTGAAACAGCATGAACTGTTTAACTCATTTGCAGGATCATGCTGCATGTACTATGAATTACAAAATATGTGAATTTAAAATAACCCACTGAATGAATAAACGACAATGATACACATTATATTGTTTGGGTGCGAAAACGAAAAGAGCGACTCCGCGCCAGCCATTGTAATTTGTATTTAAAAAGTTTTAGTTATTTGTATTTATCTACGGTTTAATGAATAATTACAAGACAGACATTCTAATGGACACAGCATTTTATCTCGTGCAACCGTCCATGTGGCAATTTCAAATACGTTATTACCAAACGAGTTCTGTTTAATGGAGACACATAAGTAGGCGGTTTTCGTTGGGGTTTAAATATCACATTTTCAGCCTCAATAAGCAGTACAAAAATATTTCTGAATGACTATCCTTATATCGTCTTATGTCTAACCTACTTTTATTTCATGGGTAGTTGTGAATGGGATTTTTACGGTCGACAAATTTCAATACAAATATATGATATATACTTTAATATACCGAGAATGCAGAGGTCATCATGTAGAAACGGAATATATCATACAATGTAAAACGAGCAAGAGGTTACCTTTTTTTCCTTGATGTTCGACCAAATGATAATTGCCCATTTAAAAAAAATATGGTGTGTAGAATTCCCAGAGCCAAAGTGCTATTATTTCTCTTGAAGCTGAGCCAACCCAACGCTTCTCGTTTCACTTTTCACATTGATATGAACTGCTCGGCTACCAAATGATGTTAGACCTTGCTATTGTGTCTACGGCGAAATACGCGGGCTGCCCTGCCCTGGGACTTCGCCGTGTGAATCACGAGTTTTATTGTCGGTAGCCTAATTACTTGACCTGTTGAACCGCAGTTAATAGACATAATGTTTATGTAATCAGAGAGGACCATGTCACGTGACCCTATGCTGTAACATGTGCGCATGTCTGCATCGAAATCAGAGACTGGAGAGTTAAACGTAGGGGAGGTAATCGAAGCGAGACTATCAGCGCTTGCGAGCAAGAAATATGACAGGAAGATAATGCGGTGCTTATTTGAGACCAGCGTTTGTCGTTGCCATGGTGATTATACATTAATGATGCCACGTGATTCAATGGTCTGCTATGCATTGTGTGGATTATCATTTTAGTGTTTAGATGAGGACTTCTCGTGTCTGTTCGACGTAGTCGAAGGTATATTAGGGAAACACGGCTATAGATAGCTTCGTTGTGCTTTCAAGTCATTGATTAAATCTTTCATGTTTATTTCATTCACTAAGATGTTTATTGTTCAAATTTACAAGTAAGATAGGCAGCGTAATACGTTTGTGTCGCTAGGACTTAACCTCACAATACACAAACTCAACCATAGGAGTCACATGTATTAAACAATTTAAATCAATTAGTCAATAAATACCAACATAACAGTAATGTTTTGTAACAGATTGTGATATTTCCTGAAACATCTAGTGTGTTTAAATATGGTCCTAGGTAAAAATAGTAATGCATATAAATACGCGATAAAATATACATCATAATCATAAAATAATCGACTAAATGAAATATATTGTATGATATTGACTTAAACATGAGCATGTTTGTGAATCACCAACAAACAGAGATGTAACTAGGAGTTCGCGAAGAGTTTAACACCTTTTACAATCAACTACTACGGTTAATTTAAAACAGCTTCAAATAAAATAATTGAACCATATTGCATTGCAAAAGCAACAAAACAAATATGGCAAAATAATTGTATCTTTTTTACTAGGCAAACAAAACCAACATAAACGTGCAAATAAGACATATAATTTTTTTGTAAATTGTAAATATACGTCTGAAGCTATTGATTATGTGCCAGTTGCCCCAAGTCATTATACGTAGTGAACTCATGAGTGAACGCTCTGAATATACCTAACCAATGAGTGATGTGAATTATTCAGTTGAACACTTAGAATTGGTTGGGTGGTTAGGCAATAGCTTCGCCACGTCAAGAAAACCATCGACATGGAAGAAATGTTTTGTTTCGAACAAAAGAAAATTTTGCTCGTGAAATTATCGACGTTTAATTACGAGTATATGCGGTATAGAGATATGCCTACTATTTTAATAATAAACACATCACAGTATTACGTATTATAGCTTCACAGCATACTTTGCATGCCTACTATTTTAATAATAAACACATCACAGTATTACGTATTATAGCTTCACAGCATACTTTGCATGCCTACTATTTTAATAATAAGCACATCACAGCATTACGTATTATAGCTTTACAGCACACTTTGCATACTAATGAGCAATGCCAAAACATATTGAAGCATGATCAAATATGACTTGGTTATGTAAGTTAATATAACAAAGATAAAATGTCTATATTATAAAAAACATATGGTACCATAAATATGCCAATCGAACCAGACGAAAAAACAAAAACAACAACAAACAAACCAACACGACACAAGATACACAGAAAACACAACATGCCAAACAATTTTAATAAACATTGGATCGAAACGTAATACATGTAAATATAACACATTCAACATGAACACATAACATAAAATCCATTAATAACCTAAAGTAATAGAAGTTAATACAACAATATATTTTTGTTGTTAGATTTGTTGTATTGATACGATAGAATGTAAACAATAAACAACATAAGACACTAAACATGACTCAATGATAAGACGAACACAAAATTAATGGATACAACACAAGAATAGGTTTCATAACCATTTCATATTCATTTGGAAAATCTTCTTATTCGTGTTGTACTACCTAATGTTTTACTCTTCCTTGGACTAAATTCGAATCCAATTTCGTTTCAGAAGCCCAGGGCCAACCTTGGTATTAGCCTCACGACAACTCATCTACAAACCACGTGATCAGGAAAAGGTGTCAGGTAGAATATTTCATTATCTTTATTTGCCGACAATGAGCAAAAATGCTATCAACGTGGGGCTCGAGGGATCATAAGAAGCGAAAGCAGCAATTTCTACTTTTACAATGATCTTTTGAAAAATCCAATCACCATAACCTTGCGAGGAGTTCAGAGTGATGTGGAAAAGTAAGCCTAACAAACTTTTTGTTAGATCACATTAAGTTGTGTTTTTTTAACTTGATAATTTATCCTTCCTGAACACGTGGAATGGCTGAAAATTACGTAAATAAAACCAACGAGTTGAAATATGGTCTCACTGAAGCCTTCTCCTCCAAATACAACTGTTTGGTCACACGTTTAAAAACGCCATTGACTGTGTGCCGAATATGAAGAAAGACTGATGACGTAATTGACAAGGGCATCAATTTTAGTTTCAGTTTAAAAACGTAGCAAACATTGATGTACCCTAATGATAATAAACAACTGAAATCCTGTATAATCATAACAATAAACAATGCAAAATAACCTGACATAAAATTGCATACATTGTGTCAGCTTAACTGGTTTCCTAATGTTACAGCTTTAAACTGGTCTTAATTAATTCCTGGTATAGTTGTATAGAAATATATAGCGGTTGCACTGTTGCGCATGGCAGTATGTTCCTACAGTGTCCGAATCGCCATGAACACTGTCTTTGCAATTCAAGGTGTTCCACTCATCTGTTCCAGTTGACCATCTATGTACATTCTTTGTAAAATTAGACACTACCTGGTGACACCTTATCCAGTAATCTTGTACTCCGTGTAAATACGGTCTTGTGCCGGAACAACCAGTCTTTTGTCAAGGCTATGTTTTATTGCCTGAGTAAAACTCTACACCGGTGGCGCGTTTTGGTCACCGGACCAGACAAACGGGAACGCGGGGAAACGTTTTAAGAAACAATTATTGAACTTTCGAAATAAATAAAATGAAAGTGTTGGGTTTTCTTGAAATGTAGAGCATAATGTTCTCGAACAGTTTTCTCGTCACGCAGAAGACCCGGGTTCGATTCCCCACATGGGCACAATGTGTGAAGTCCATTTCTGGTGTACCCCGCCGTGAGATTGCTGGAATATTGCTAAAAGCGCGTAAAACCATACTCACTCACTTTTCTTCATTATCATATTACCTTGTCACGCAACAGATACAATGTGGTGGTGCTTTTTAAGTATGGTGTAATGATAGAATTATTATAAACATTATGTTTTACTTACTAAGATAAAAAATAATAACAGGCAATGCCTTTCACAGAGTGGTCAAATGTAACATGTTATACTTTTTCAGGAAAGTACAGATTATACTAATTTTTAGAGTGGAGTCTCCCAATTTGCCACCCAAAGAAGCGAATGAATTTGAAGTTGGCTACGAAAGTGCAACCCCAGCTATAACAAATGTGAATATCAATAATAGTAATTTAAAATCAGTATATCATTTAAACATTGACGTAAATATTTTTTTAAATAATATTGTTGTATAAATTGGTAATAGTGGTAATAATACATTATAAACACATTATACAAAATAGAAGTCATTACAGAAACTGAACCAATTAATCTGTGTCATAGAAACTTTCATATTATGTATTGTGTTTAATGTGATTTCATCTTATGTATTAGGCAATAAACATTCAATATATTACGGTAGTGCAAACAACGGCGACGTGGGCGACGATAGGAACTTCAAAACAACGTCAACATTGGTCGCCATGAATACATGGCCTTACGAGAATTGAAATTGATTTTTAAAAAGCAGCATTAGCGCTAACATAGCGCCAAAACACTTCGGTGTTGTCTATGAGTGCCGTACAACATAACTGGGAGGATTGCACAGGGGTTAAACGTAACATGGAGACGGTTGTGTTTGTCAGTTGGAAGGCAGCCGGCTGTAAAACAAGGTGAATTTGGACTCCCCTTGTTGGAATCGGAGACAAAGCGCCTCTGTGAGATTGTGGCTATGATAGTGTTCTCACACAAAAACCATCACGATCGAGTCGAGTTTCACCACACAAGGGTAGAAACTAACACGGTTTGAAGCGCATTGTAAAACTTAAGATCTATGTCTTTAGCAAAAAAGGCAAACACCTGTTAGTTGTATTTCAATACCAGAATGTCTTTGCAGTGTCTAACTGACAAAACAGAAAGGCAAGCACACCGGGAGTTGTTATTTTTGTAAATATAATGAAACAAACAATTTGTAATTTAAGTTATATTGAATAGACATAATTAGAAATATGTAAGCGATGGCTTTTTGTATTTTGATTTGTCAGTTAACCTGGAATGCTTTGCATATATAGAACGTGGTTTTGACAGAATAATTGATAAATATTGTTTTAATGAATCAACTGTCCAATATTTACACGACACAATGAATCGTAAGGCGTCTATGACTAATCAGCTAGTAGCTTAACTTTACATGTTTAAAGTAATCTATCTCAAGGTCATATAAAATATGATCTCTTCTGTACTTTAACAGCGAGGACAAGTACATATGAAACGTACTCATTAATACATTTAGCATAAAACAAACCAAGAATTGTTAAATGAAACAAATACATGCTTATCATAAACACTCAGGTAATTGGGACTGTTTTGTAACGAGTTAAGCATTATAAGCCCAGCCTTAATGTCACCAAGGTCAAATCAACCACGTAGGGCTGTCATATGATCTATTCTTTAACACTGTCTCATGGTGATTTCAAGTATACATCGCCATTAGAGTACACATAGCCCAACGTAGGTCTATAATAACACGCCCAAGTCTATCCTTAATATGTACTTGTCACTCAATCATGAAATGTACAGTTGTCGTTTATTCACCGCCATTAGTGACGGTTTTCAAAAGGGCTCAGATTCGTGGTTTGGTAACATTAGC